CACCACCATGACCAGCTAATTTTTGTATTTTGTATTTTTGGTAGAGATGGGATCTCACCATGTTGACCAGACTGGTCTTGAACTCCTTGGCTCAAGCAATCTACACAACTCAGCCTCCCGAAGTGCTAGGATTACAGGTGTGAGCCACTGCACCCAGCCATATGTATTAAATATATATATAATATATATAAAATATATATGTATATGTGTATGTATTCATGTGATTATAATTGTTTAGCAATCGAATGCCATGTGGGCAGGAACTTTGTTTATTCAGAGGCTTGTGAAAGGAAAATAAAAACTTGGGACCCCAATTCATTCTGCCAAAAGAAAAAAAAAATGAAGCTGAAAGCTGAGTCATGCAAGAAGTTGCCTTTCCTTTCATTCCTAAGCAGGACTGGCTGCAGCTAACTACTCTATGTCCACCTTATCTTATGGTAAGCACGAGAGTAATACATAATTGACTATTTCTCTACCTGCTCTTTGTCTCTTGCAACATGTGAATTCAGTAATGTGAGCATACTCTCCTTCTTTCCCGTCCAGCCTGCTTTTCCGTTTTAAATATTAAATCCTGGCCAGGCATGGTGGCTCACGCCTGTAACCCCAGCACTTTGGGAGGCTGAGGCAGGCGGATCACGAGGTCAGGAATTCAAGACCAGCCTGGCCAACATGGTGAAACCTCGTCTCTGCTAAAAACAACAAAAATTAGCTGGGCATGGTGGTGTGCACCTGTAATCCCAGCTACGGGTGCGGCTGAGCCAGGAGAATGACTTGAACCCAGGGAGCAGAGGTTGTAGTAAGCCAAGATCGTGCCAGCGCACTCCAGCCTGGGTGATAGGGCAAGATTCCGTCTCAAATAAATAAATAAATAAATAAATAAAATATTAAATCCTTCTGGCTGGGCACGGTGGTTCACACCTGTAATCCCAGCACTTTGGGAGGCTGAGGTGGGCGGATTACCTGAGGTCAGGAGTTGGAGACCAATCTGGCTAACATGGTGAAACCCTGTCTCTACTAAAAATATGAAAATTAACCAGGAGTGGTGGCACATGCCTGCTAATCCCAGCTACTTGGGAAGCTGAGGCATGAGAATTGCTTGAATCTGGGAGGTGGAGGTTGCAGTGAGCCAAGATTGTACCACTGCACTCCACCCTGGGCAACAGAGTGAGACTCTGTCTCAAAAACAGACAAACAAACAAACAAACAAAACAAATCCCTCAAAATCACCTTTGGAAAAAGGCACAGGCCTATCTCCCAGCTAAGCGTCCTTAATTTTGGCAAAATAAACTTGTAAATTGATTGAGACCTGTCTCAGATACATTTTGGTTTACAGGCTCAGTGCAGATCTTGGAAAATAATGAATATTCTTAGGTTATAAGGGATGGAAGGATAAATTCTCATAATTATCAGCTCCAGCATGCCTTCTGTAGGAACAAACAATGCTAAGTAAAAATCTTACCTTTGTTATTTCACCTTTTTTGTAGGTTATGATGACTCCATTCAAACAACAACTTTCATAGTTGCTGGCCAAACAACTTTCTGTCTTTGCCTTGGAAGTCAGTAGGACATGAATATATCATTTCTAATAGATGAAATAAAAACACTAGTGAATATTTGGAAAAATAACGAGTCATCAAAGAAATGAAAATTAAACTAACATGAGGTTTTTTTTTGTTTTTTTTGAGACAGAGTCTCACTCTGTCACCCAGGCTGGAGTGCAGTGGCTCGATCCCGGCTCACTGCAACCTCCGCCTTCCGGGTTCAAGCGATTCTCCTGCCTCAACCTCCCAAGTAGCTGGGATTACAGGAGTGCGCCACCATGCCCAGCTAATTTTTGTATTTTTAGTAGAGACGGGGTTTCACCATGTTGACCATGATGATCTCGACCTCCTAATCTTGTGATCCACCTGCCTCTGCCTCCCAGAGTGCTGGGATTACAGGTGTGAGCCACAGTGCCCGGTCTTCTTCTTTTTTTTTTTTTTTTTTGAGACAGTGTCTCACTCTGTCACCCAGGCTGGAGTGCAATGGCACAATCATGGCTCACTGCAGCCTCAACCTCCTGGGCTTAAATGACTCTCCCACCTCAGCCTCCCAAGTAGCTGAGACTACAGGCGGACAGGGTTTTACCATGTTTCCCAGGTTTATCTGAAATTCCTGAGCTCAAGCGATCCTCTCGCCTTGGCCTCTCAAAGTGCTGGAATTACAGGTGTGAGCCGGCATCATGCTCAGCCGAGAGTTTTTTTTTTTTTTGGGGGGGGTGGGGGTGGGGTCACCAAATTAGCAAACAAAAAACTTCACCTTCAAAAAATAAGTCCTTTTTTTTTTGAGACAGAGTTTCTCTCTGGTCACCCAGGCTGAAGTGCAATGGCACAATCTCCGCTCACTGCTACCTCCACCTCCTGGGTTCAAGCAGTTCTCCAGCCTCAGCCTCCCGAGTAGCTGGAATTACAGGCACCTGCCACCATGCCCAGCTAATTTTTGTATTTTTATGGGGTTTCACCATGTTGGCCAGGCTGATCTTGAACTCATGACCTCAGGTGATCTGCCCGCCTCGGCCTCCCAAAGTGCTGGGATTACAGGTGTGAGCCACTGCACCCGGCCAGCTCATTTCTTTATAGTGCTGCATAATATTCCACTGTCTGGATGTACCATAGTTTATTTATCCATTCACCCATTGAAGGACATCTTGGTTCCTTTCCAGTTTTGGTAATTATGAATAAGCTGCTATAAACATCCATGTGCAGATTTTTGTGTGGACATGTTTTACTTATACCCAATTCTTACTCAGCTCCTTTGGGTAAGAGTATGTTTAATTTTGTAAGAGACAGCAAACTGTCTTCAAGAGTGGCTGTTCCATTTTGCAATGAATGAGAGTTCCTGTTGCTCTATAAAAATCCACTGTTTGAAAGAGCTGGCCGGACAAGGTGGCTCAAGCTGTAATCCTAGCACCTTGGGAGGCTGAGGTTGGAGGATTGCTTGAGCCCGGGAGTTCAATATCAGACTGGGCAACGTGGTGAAACCCTGTCTACAAAAATTAGCCAGGCATGGTGGTGCATGCCTGTAGTCCTAGCTATTGGGGATGCTGAGGTGGGAGGATTGCTTGAGCCTGGGGAAGCAGAGGTTGGAGTGAGCCAAGATCATACTACTGTATGGGTAACAGAGCGAGACCCTGTAACAGAGCGAGACCCTGTCTCAAATAAAAATAAAAATAAACCAAAATGGTAACAGTGATTATATTTGGATGGTAGGATGATGGGTGATTATTTGTTTTTCCTCCTTTTCCTCCCCCCACTCGTTTTCTTATCTCCCTCTCTCTCTCTGGTGAGGGGAGTGTCTTTTTTCCCATGTACTTTAACAAATGACTATGTATAATTTTTTTTTTTGAGACCGAATTTCACTCTTGTTACCCAGGCTGGAGTGCAATGGTGAGATCTTGGCTCACCACAACCTCCACTTCCCAGTTTCAAGCGATTCTCCTGTCTCAGTCTCCCGAGTAGCTGGGATTACAGGCATGTGCCACCACGTCCGGCTAAATCTGTATTTTTAGTAGAGATGGGGTTCTCCATGTTTGTCAGACTGATCTCGAACTCCCGACCTCAGGTGATCCACCCGCCTTGGCCTCCCAAAGTGCTAGGATTACATGTGTGAGCCACCACACCCGGCTATGTATAATTTTTATAGTCAGAAAAAAGATACTTTTATTTTTAAGGAGTCATATGTATTTATATGAACCCTCATACATACAAGCACTGTAATTAGAAGAGTAAGTACAGTACTGTAATTGTAATAGTTTTGTTTGCCCAATGCACAGTGAGTCAGCATACAGAGACACCCGGCTGCAGCAAAGAAAGAGTTTAACAATCACAGGGCATCTGAACGAGGAGATGGGAAGAAGCCTCAAATCCACCTCCCTGAGAGGTTTGGGGGACAGGGTTTTTTAAGTCCTCTGGACAGGGACTGTAGTGTGGGGATCGATGATTGGTCAAGAAGTGAAGGGCGAAGTCATGAGACAGGGAGACTAAGAAACCTCGTTCTTGTGCTGAGTGGGTTCCTTGGTGGGGTATGTCAGAATTCAGAATCTGAAAAACAAACAGTTCTTGAGCAGAAAGATCTTATGAGTCTAGTGTCAGAAATTCTTACTCATGGTAAGAACCGTGGGGAAACAGGTAGCAGGTGGTCTAGCATGCTGGGTGATGTTCTGTGAGTTAGCAGCTGCAGGGAAGTGGGTCAAAGTACACTTGTGCACCCTAGATAATAGCTAACTATATATAATGCTGTCTTAAAGCCTGGCTTGTAACTCTCCTTAATCCTGTGAGGGCAGTTTCAACTCTGTATTTGCTTAAAAAGATTAAGGTGGCTGGGCGCGGTGGTTCATGCCTGTAATCCCAGCACTTTGGGAGGCCGAGGTGGGTGGATCAGTTGAGTTCAGGAGTTCAAGACCAGCCTAGCCAACATGGTGAAACCCCGTCTCTACTAAAAATACAAAAATTAGCTGGGCGCAGTGGTGCGTGCCTGTAATCCCAGCTACATGAGAGGCTGAGGCAGGAGAATTGCTTGAACCAGGGAGGCGGAGATTGCAGTGAGCGGAGGTTGCAGTGAGCTGAGATCGTGCCACTGCACTCCAGCCTGGGCGACAGAGTGAGACCCCGTCTCAAAAAAAAAAAAAAAAAAAAAGATTAAGGTGTGGGAGTGGGACAGACCCAGGCTACTTAATATTTTTCTGTAAAACAGCAGGGAAAATAGTTTCTAATTCACTGGACGTGACGGTCCTGCAGGTAAAATTCTTTTTCTTATTTATTTAGTCAATTCTAGCAGTACCTTCTAACTTTGTTTGTTTGAGACAGGGTCTCACTTTGTCGCCCAGGCTGGAGTGCAGTGGTGTGATCACGGCTCTCTGCAGCTTTGACCTCCGGGGTTCAAGTGATCCTCCTGCCTCAGCCTCCCAAGTAGCTAGGACTACAGCCGTGTGCCACCATGCCCGGCTATTTAAAAAAAAATTTTTTTTGTAGAGGTGGGGTTTTGCCATGTTGCTCAGGCTGGTCTCGAACTCCTAGCTCAAAGCCTTGGCCTTACCAGGAGGGAGCCACCGTGCCGCGCCAGCTAAAGTTCTTGATATAGGTTCTGGCACATAGTATATGTTTAATAGATATTTGTAATTCTGATGATTTCAGTTATGTACCATTTACAGGCGTTTGTAACCTTTTTAGCTAACAAGGTGGGCATTTAGGGAACTGATTATGGAAAGCATTGCTCAGAAACCAGGACTGGTTCTGCGACGTCTTAACGAGGTGCGGGTGGCCAGTGTTTTCCCCAACTGTTGAAAATCTGTTTAGAGGTGGGAGGGCAGTCTAGCCTCAGGAGGAATAGGAAACCTTCCTTATGTCTAATTTCAGTGTCAGTCTGCTATTTCCTACGCGGAACACCGCCCCAAACTAATGTCTACGTTTAACTCAACTGCGGTAAATTTCCTTCCACGGCACTATTAACCTGGCCCTGCCCACATGTCCGCTCCCGGTTGGTGTGAATGCTCCAGGGTTAGCTCAAACCTCAGCGATTTTCCCAGCCGATTGGCTGTGCAAATAGACAATCCTTTTACTTTTCTGATTGGTCGCACGTGGCATGGAGGACGTGGGCGTGTCTCGCCGGAACTCGCTGAGCTGTCATTTGAAGACGAACAGGGTATTGCCAGAGCTGCGTGGCGTCGCCTACGGCGCTCCCTCCCTCCTAGGCCTTTACTATCCTTTGCATTGGTCAGATTTGTCGTCACTCATAAAACTTCTAGCTCATTGGTGCAAAAGCTCCAGGAGGCGGTGGGTGATTGGTTGGTTGCTGTTCCTATCTCCTCGCCGGTTGTGGTTTAGCTGAACTGAGCCGAAATCCTAAAGGCCGCGGAGTCGGCGGTGATGTAGGTAGCGGTGCCTTGAGTGGCAACAGGTGAATCTCCGGCTCACCTGGGGCGGCAGCACTCAAGACCTGGCTGGATCTCCACTTCGCCTGCGGGCCAGAAACCGGAGGGCGGCGGTGGCTTGCGGAAAGGTATTGGGCTCCGCTGTTCCTTCTTTGCCCTCTCGACGGCCGGAGCAGCGAGGAACCGAAGGAGGCTTCGTAGGTTCCACGCAAGGCCCTCTCTCTGCTCTTCCAGGGGCGCACAAGTTGAGAAGGAGCGGCCTGGCGGCCCAGGTAAAAAAGGCATTCGGCGTTCTTCCCCGGTAGCCGGGCGTGCCTGGCTGCCGCGCACGCTCACCTGGGCCACCGTGCTCGTTCGTGTCCTTGACGTCGTGCCGACGTTTCTCCCTAATGCACTTTTGGCGCTTGGGGCCGGGAGAGTGAGCATGCCAAAAAGGCCCTGTAATCGGAGCCATCATTCCCCAGAGGGTCTTCAGCGGCGCAGGGGTGTCAGGACCGCGGGGGTCTGGGGCACATGAGTAGCAAGAAGAGGAAAGAGGAGAGGGAGGTCAAGGGGGTGTGTCTGTGCGGTTGGCAGGGGGAATCTGTGGAACTATCTGCCTCAAGGGGCATCTGAGCGGGAAATACCTTCCCTCCCCCAGCATGTTCCATATTTGTGAACAGGAAAAATTCTGGGCTCGCTTTCTCTCATCCTAGAAAGGAATGTTGTGTACTTGGGCGTAATCCATGATATTAAGCTACTACTGGCCACTGTTAAATTTCAGCGGTGAGGCCTGTGGAATTTCAGCGGTGAGGCCTGTGGACCTCCCCTCTGTGGTCACCAGAGTTCGAATGAATGGTTGATTGCCTATCGTCTTTGTGTCTTCCCCCTCCCCTGACCAGGAGTAAAGCTTTCTTTGGTTAGCAATTTAAAAGGAAAATAAATCACAGTCTCTGGAACAAGGATATAGGTTTTTTTTTTTTTGGTATTATTTTTAAAAATAGAGGCAGGGTCTCGCTGTGTTGCCCAGGCTGGTCTCGTACTCCTGGCCGAAAGCAATCCTCCCGTGTTTTCTGTTATCTTAGTAAGCAAAAAATAAAGTGATCCTATTGCTTTGGCCTCACAAAGTGCTGGAATTGCAGCGGTAAGCCACCCTACCTGGTCTGAAGATCTTTATAGACTTCTAAGAGCTTGGTTAGAGGTGTAGACCCAGCACTGCTTTTAAGTCTTTACTTAGAATGTCAAGCTCACATTTCAAGTAGGCTGATCTCAAAGAGACTGTACATTTCTGTAAAGTTAGTCTAACTTTGCTATTGATGTACTTTATGTAAGCTACCATGATCTCTACTGAAAAATAAAATATTGAACATTTATGCTGTTAGAAGTCAATATAGTGATTACCTTTTATGGAGTAATGACTGGGAGGAGACACAAGGAGAATTGATCTAATAATCATCTTTTTTTTTTTTTTTTTTTTTTGAGATGGAGTCTCGCTCTGTTGCCCTGGGCTGGAGTGCAGTGTCCCAATCTCAGCTCACTTCAGCCTCCACCTCCCAGGTTCAAGTGATTATTGTGCCTTAGCTGCCTGAGTAGCTGGGACTGCAGCTGTGCACCACCATGCCTGGCTAATTTTTGTGTTTTTAGTAGAGACAGGGTTTTGCCATGTTGGCCAGGCTGGTCTTGAACTCTTGACTTCAGGTGATCCGCCCACCTTGGTCTCCCAAAGTGCTGGAATTATAGGCGTGAGCCACTGCGCCCAGCCTGATAAATCATCTTTTCTTGATTTGTTTACATAGATGTGTTTGGTTCATGAAAATTTATTGAACTTTACAGTTATGTACGTTTATATCTGTATGTAAACTATACTTAAATAAAAAGTTCTAAGAACTGGTTGAGAGAAAGGTGATAGTTACAGCAATAGAACACTGGATACTGGCTGGGCCTGGTAGCTCACGCCTGTAATCCCAGGACTTTGGGAGGCTAAGGCGGGAGAATCACTTCTTGAGCCCAGGGGTTCGAGATTAGCCTGGGAAATATAGTGAGACCTAATTTTCACAAAAAATACAAAAATTAGCTGGGCGAGGTGGCGAATGCCTGTAGTCGCAGCTGCTCTGGAGACTGAGGTGGGAGGATTGCTTGAGATGGGGAGGTTGAGGTTGCAGTGAGTGGTGATTGTGCTGCTGCACTCCAGCCTGGGTGACAGAGTGAGACCCTGTCTTAAAACAAAAGACTCAAATGAAAACTGGATGCTGTGGTGCCTCCTCAACTCTGCCAAGTTCTCTCTCTTGGCAGTGAAGCTTCCCAACGCTGAATTTCTTTGCCTCTGAAATGTCTTAGGTTATTTACTAGGCTGTCTGCTAGCCATAGGGAACTACTACGTTTCCAAGGGATATAGTTGTTTAACCTGCCTTAAAGACTTTGTTTTATATTGCATAAAACAAACAGCTTCTCTGCTTCACAAATTCTCATTTCAGTACAGTTTAGAATGAGGTAGAGTTGTATTTGTCGTATCATTGCTTCTGTACTTCTGTTTTTTTAAAAAATTTAATTAATTAATTAATTTATTTTGTGAGACGGTCTTGCTCTGTCACCCAGATTAGAGTGCAGTGGCGTGGTCCTGGCTCAGTGCAACGTCTGCCTCCAGGTTCAAGCAATTCTTATGCCTTAGCCTCCTGAGTAGCTGGTACTACAGGTGTGCGCCACCAGGCCTGGCTAATTTTTGTGTTTTCAGTAGAGATGGGGTTTCACCATGTTGGCCAAGCTGGTCTTGAACCCCTGACCTCAGGTGATCCGCCCGCCTTTTGGCCTCCGAAAGTGCTGGGATTACAGGCGTGAGCTACTGCGCCTGGTCCTGTACTTCTGTACTAAATTGACTAAAGGCTGCCACTGTCGTAGCAGTGCTGAGGTTGAGTTGCATATCCCACTTGGATGCTGCAGTGGAAAATATAATTTTCTGGTAAGGCATTGAAAGGTTTAGTTGAGTTTCCCTTTGAAGATAAGACTACTCATTGGCCAAAGTGTACCTAAAATTGTTTAATTTTTCCTGGAAGCCATTTCTAATTGACACTTGTATTTTATGCATGTTGCTTCTATATCTCTGCAAAGAACAATTATTTGACTTGCTTTTCTTGTCATGTTACAGAATTCAATTACAATGGGAAACATTTTTGAAAAGCTCGTTAAGAGTCTACTTGGGAAAAAAGAGATGCGGATTCTTATATTGGGTTTGGATACAGCTGGAAAAACGACCATCTTGTATAAATTGAAGCTGGGGGAGACTGTGCCTACCATCCCTACAGTAGGTAAGTTAATGAAAGACCTGCGGCAATTCCAGTTTACAATTTAGTATGTTATATATATTTTTTCTGTTAGGTTCTGTTTCACCGGAGAAATATGTTTTATTTTTACATGCTGCTTCTGTTGTTGAATAATCCTTTTTAAAAATCTTGTCTACTCCAAGAGCATACATTTTTAGAGGCCAAAAACCAGGTTACATTATATATCCTTTTCTTTTTTTTGACTCTGTCACCCAGACTAGAGTGCAGTGGCGCCTCTCTGCTTACTACAGTCTCAACTTCCTGGGCTCAAGTGATCCTTCCACCTCCCTCCTGAGTAGCTGGAACTACAGGCATGCACCAGCATGCCCAGCTAATTTTTGAATTTTTGGTAGAGATGGGGTCTTGCCATGTTGCCTAGGCTGGTCTCGAACTCCTGGGCTCAAGCGATCCTCCTGCCATGGTCTCCCAAAGTGCTGGGATTATAGGCGTGAGCCACCGTGCCTGACCAGGTTCTCTGTCCTTTTCTAGTGGCTTACACATTCTTAGGTTCACAAAGGTGACATGTGAACACAGGTAGACTAAGCAAAATTAACCCTATCTGCTTGGCAAAAAAGAAAAAGATAATGGGCCAAACAGGGAGGGTAGTTCTGCCCCCCATTCCTCCCAGCTAGTGTCCCAGCAGAAGGCTGAGGTGGGAGCTGGGAATCTGCTGGTGCCTCCTCAGTCAGCCTCTGTTCCAGCTGGCCTTCCTTAGTAGCAGCATCTTATCTCTCTATACTAAGTACACTCCTGGTGCTTAGAGACGGAGTGTGATTTCTTTTCTTCACTCTGGCTCAAGCCAACTGCTTGAGATGATGTCCAACTAGAGAAATAGACAAGCTGGCTGTATTGCTCTTACTGTGAACCAGCACTGTGTTTTATGGGCTCGTTAAGAGATTTGCAAAATGAGTTTTGACAGAACTGAATCTTTGCCTTGTGAACTGCCTTTAGATCCAAACTTCTGACTGAGGATACACCCCACAGGTTGGCATGTGAACATGACTACTGTTCTGAACACTGAATTAGGCACAGGACTCAAATGATCAACTTTTTTTTTTTTTTTTGAGATGGAGTCTCGCTCTGTCATCCAGGCTGGAGTACCGTGGCGCGATCTCGGCTCACTACAACCTCCGCCTCCTGGGTTCAAGCAATTCTCATGCCTCAGCCTCCCGAGAAAGCTGGAAATACAGACGTTTGCCACCACGCAAGGCTAATTTTTGTATTTGTAGCAGAGACAGGTTTTCACCATGTTGGCCAGGCTGGTCTGGAACTCCTGACCTCAAGTGATCTGCCCTGCTAAGTGCTGGGATTACAGGCGTGAGCCACCACATCTGGTCTCCAAATGATCACCTTTCAACTTGGGCAGTAACTGCAGAGATTGCGTCGATTGAGGACTGGGAAACCGATGAGAATGTTCGAGTTATGAGATGGTTGTGAGTAAGGTAGGAATTTGGTTAAATTTTCCAAATGGGTAAGCCAGTGCTGTCTAGGAGGCACTTTCTGCAGTGATTGAAATGTTCTGTCTGTGCTGTTCGAAGTGGTAGCCAATAGCTATGTGACTGTTGAGTGCTTGAAATGTGGCTAATGCAACTGAGGAACGGAACTTTTTTTTTTTTGAGATGGAATCTCGCTTTGTCACCCAGACTGGAGTGCAGTGGCGCAATCTCAGCTCACTGCAACATCCACCTCCTGAGTTCAAGTCATTCTCCTGCCTCAGCCTCCTGAGAAGCTGGGATTACAGACGTGTGCCACCATGCCCAGCTAATTTTTGTATTATTAGTGGAGACGGGGTTTTACTCTGTTAGCCAGGCTGGTCTCAAACTCCTGACCTCAGGTGATCTGCCCACCTTGGCCCCCCAAACTGTTGGAATTACAGGCATGAGCCACTGTGCCCAGCCAGGAACTGAACTTTTAATTGTATTTAACATTAAGTTTATTTTTTACTTATTTTCATTTGTTGATTGATTTTTGATTTTCACTTTAAGTTTAAATAGCCACCTTGCTGGGCGCAGTGGCTCATGCCTATAATCCCAGCACTTCGGGAGGCTGAGGTGGGAAGATCACTTGAGATCAGGAGTTCGAGACCAGCCTGACCAACATGGTGAAATCCCATATCTACTAAAAGTACAAAAATTAGTCAGGTGTAGTGGCATGCTTCTGTAATCCCAGCTACTTGGGAGGCTAAGGCAGGAGAATCACTTGAGCCCGGGAGGCGGAGGTTGCAGTGAGCTGAGATTGCACCATTGCGCTTCAACCTAGGTTACAGAGCAAGACTCTGTCTCAAAAACTAAATAAATAGGCCGAGCGTGGTGGCTTATGCCTGTAATCTCAGCACTTTGGGAGGCCGAGGCCGGTGGATCACTTGAGGTCAGGAGTTCGAGACCAGCTTGGTCAACATGGTGAAACCCCGTCTCTACAGAAAATACAAAAAAAAAAAATAAAGGGGGGGTGTGGTGGCAGCTGCCTGTAATCCCAGCTACCTGGGAGGCTGAGGCAGGAGAATCGCTTGAATCCGGGAGACGGAGGTTACAGTGAGCCAAGATCGCGCCATGTACTCCAGCCTGGGCAACAAGAGTGAGACTCTGTCTCAAAAACAAAACAAAACAAAAAAATAAATGAATAAACAAATAGTCACAAATGGCTAGTGACTGTATTGGACAGTGTTGGGGTAGACAGTTGTTCAATGGCATTTATTGAATAATTTTTCCATGCTGATTTGAAATGCCTTCTTTGTCACATACTAAATTCTCACTGGTATGTGTGTCTTTTTCTGGACAACTACCTTTTTCTGGACAACTACAGAGTTACATTTATATTTGAACTCTGTTACTTCAAGTATTACTAGGGCTTGGCATAGCTTTAAAAATAATTCATTATTCATTTTCAGAGATTTCCTGGTTGTGCTTACTTGTTTATTTCTCCAAGTTAAATTTTAGATAATTTTGCTAAGTTTCCTGCCCCTGCCCCTACCATCGCTATAGGATTGGAATGGCATTGTATTTATTTATTTAGCAAGAATTTAGATTGTTGCAATGTAATGAGTGTCTCTCACTAAAATAAGGCATGACTAGAATTGAGGTTTGGAAGGTGAGCAGGCCCAGCTGACTGTGGGTCTTGACAGTCATATTTGGGATTTGGGTGTGGGAAGCTGCCAAAGGGACATCTTTCCTTCTTTTTTTTCCTTCCTTCCTTCCCCTTCCTTCCCTTCCTTCCCTTCCTTCCCTTCCTTCCCTTCCTTCCCTTCCCTTCCTTCCCTGTCTTCCCTTTCTTCCCTTCTTTCCTATCCTTCCCTTCCCTTCCCTTCCTTCCCTGTCTTCCCTTTCCTTCTTCTTTCCTATCTTCTTTTCCTTTCCTTCTGGTCTTTTTTTCTTTTTCTTTTCCTTTTTCTCCCTTCTTTCCCTTCTTTCCTTTCCTTCCCTTCTTTCCCTTCCATTTTCCTTCTTCTCTCCTCCTACCCTCCCTCTCCTCCTCACCCTCCGCCTTCCCCTTCCTCTCCTCCTTTCCTCTCTCTCTTTCTTTTCTTTTTTGATCTTATCTGTATCCAGGCTCGAAGTGGCAGTGGCGAGATCTCGCTCAACTGCAACATCTGACTTCCTAGGCTCACAAGCAATTGCCTCCTGTCTCAGGCTCCCAAGTAGCTGGGACTACAGGCATATGCCACCAATGCCTGGCTAATTTTTGTGTTTTTTCTGTAGAGACAGGGTTTTGCCATGTTGCCCAGGCTGGTCTCGAACTCCTGAGCTCAAAGCAATCTGCCCACCTCAGCCTCCCAAAGTGCTGGGGTTACAGGTGTGAGCCACTGTGCTCGGCCTATTCTTTCTTTTTTCAATTTTTAATTTTATTTTTTTGGGGAGATTATTCTTTCTTTTGTAAGTTTGAAAATATTCCAATCAAACATAAATGTGTAGAGAAATGATGTGACCACACTACGTGTTTTTAAGCGATTGCTTTGATTAGAAGATGGTGACTGGATGGAGACAGGGAGAGTGGCTGAGGTGAAATTAGTTATGTGGTTTCAAGAATTAAGGCTAGAAATGATGGTCTGTTGGATTAGGGTGACTATTAGCTGTTTAAGAGGTTGAATTGATAAGATATGGTAGTAGGGTTCTAGGAGTGAGAGCATCGGATGTTTCCAGGGCTCCTCTTAGGCTATCAGCTTGTGGAATGAAGTCAATGAGGGGATAACTAGCAGAGGAGGAGGTGGGGGGTAGGGACCTTAAATTCCATTTTTGACTGATACCTGGTTTTGGGGCCTTGAAGACATTCGCCAAAGCTGTTAGATTATGAGCCTGAAGCTCAGGAGAGAGGATATAAATCTCAGAGCTAGATTGGAAGATATAAATCTCAGAGTTAGTACAGAGATAGGAATGAAGTCATGGCAGTGAGTGAGATTGCGTAGGGAGGGGTGCAGAAAGAGGAGAATCAATGGGGCCAGTGAGAGCCAGGGGGACTCCATCATTGCAGGATCAGTTAAACGTGGCTGAGCTCACTAAGGAGACTGAGACGGTACGGCCATAGAGATAAAAGGAAAAGGGAAGCTGGGGAAGAGTGTCAAGGAGGGAGTGAGCAGTAGTGTCAGATAGAAGATCAGATTATGGAAGAGCTGAAAAGGCATGTGTTGGATTTGTTCACCTGGTGGTCATTGCTGACCTTAGTGAAAACCAGCTACCCAACATGGTGGAGCAGAGATAAGGTGCTGTTGCGTGAGAGGACCAAAGAAAGCTCAGTGAATATAGCCACACTTCTTTGAGATGTTTGACTTTAAAAGAGCAAATAGACCAGGCATGGTGGCTCACACCCGTAATCCCAGCACTTTGGGAGGCTAAGATGGGCAGATTGCTTGACCTGAGGAATTTGAGGCCAGTCTGAGCAACATAGTGAGACCCGTCTCTACAAAAAAAAATTTATATTTAGCTAGGTATGGTGGTTCATGCTTATAGTTCTAGCTACTTGGGAGGCTGAGGCAGGAGGATCCCTTGAGCACAGGAGTTTGAGCTGCAGTGAGCTATGATTCTACCTCTGTGCTCCAACCTGGCCAACACAGCAAGGCTCTGTCTCTTTAAAAAAAAAAAAAAGCAAATAGAGGGTGAAGATGTGAAGGAAGGAAGGAAGAGGGTGAAGGAAGGAAGAAAGAGGGTGCTGATGAAGATGTAGGGGTCAAGGAAAGGTTTGTTCTGTTGCTTTTAAAGATGTAAAAGACTTAAGCATGCCAAGGTGAACAGATTGGAGATATTCAGATATGGGAGAGAGTAGGAATAGTAAAAATTCCAGACAGTCTGGGTGGAGTGGATGTGGATCATAGAGGGAGGGAGTTGGTGAAAGAGAGTTACCCTCTTCTGTTGTTCCAAGAGGGAGGAAGAAAAGCGTGGGTAAAGATATAGACTGGCTTTTACACTGTATGGTGGAAATGGAAGTCAGTCCCATCAGTGGCTTCTCTGCTCTGAAGTACACTGTGATAGTCTCCTGCTGAGAGGAAGGGCAGGTGCATGGCTGGAGATTGGAGAGTAGAGAAGGTTTGAGACACCTGTCCTGATGAATGGGAGAGGGGGCCAGCACATTCTCTTTGAAGGCTATAGATATTTGACTAGCAGGCTGCTTTGTAAATTAAAAGTACTATCCACATGTTGAAATTATTTTGAATTGTTCAGCCAGCACAAATCATAATTAAACATTTTCCCCCTATTTCATTTAGGTTTCCATATGGAGACGGTAGAATATAAAAATATCACCTTCACAGTCTGAGATGTTGGCAGCCACTTCAAAATGAGACCTCTGTGGCGGCATATTTTCCAGAACACAAAAGGTAAAGATTATTCAGTGTATAGCCTCGATACTGTTTCTGTGAAATGTCTCTAAAGACAGATGCTTGAAGTGATACCTTGTGGTGCTCTGCTCTATTGACACTGTCAGCCACTTCCTCTCTTAGGATCCCCTTACTGGGGAGCTTTCTTTTGTGAGACAGAGTCTTGCCCTGTTGCCCAGGCTGGAGTGCAGTGGTGTGATCTTGGCTCCCTGCAACCTCCGTCTCCTGAGTTCAAGTGAATCTCCTGCCTCAGCCTCCCGAGTAGCTGGGGTTACAGGCATGCGCCATCATGCCTGGCCAATTTTTGTATTTTTAGTAGAGACGGGGTTTCGCCATGTTGGTCAGGCTGGTCTTGAACTTCTGATCTCAGGTGATCCAC